CAAATTTTCTACTAATTCATTTCAGAATATTTAAGAGGACAGTCTTTACCAAGATGTTAGAAATACGTTCTGATGTTTGCTAATAGCATATACCACACCAAATAACCAACTATTTCAAACATAATTGTACGGGTAATAAAAAAGCCTGCTATATATCAGGTCTCGTTACAATTTCAACAAATTTCAAGAGCATTTGAAATCCTAACACGGCTCAATTACCCCACATCTTGGAGATCTCATTCATTATCATAGAAAAAATGTAATAAAAATTAAAGGAAACTAGGTGTGCAATCACATTTATCGCTATTCCTAAAGTCATCACAAGACCACAGAGTTGAATTCTCACAATACACACTGTTAATCCTCACCAAGACTGAGTAAAATTTAAAGAACACTTTCTCCCGCTTCTCAAAACTGATAGATCTGACATACTGATGCAACTCCAACATCACAATACCAAATGACTAATTAGCTTGCAGAAACACATTGCAGCAAGAAAACTGAACATTTGAGTTATTACCTCACCAGGAAGAGACATATATACACAACCAAAGACAAAAGCCAATAATACAGTGCCAAAGCTGTGACCACATAAATATTAACCCACAATTAAAAGTGCAGAAACAATAAAGTAAAATCAGCCAACAGTATTTTTCTATGGAAAGCTACCGACCAAATGAAAAAGAATCTACAAGATTATTAATGTGGTATACATTCCAGTAAGCAACACAAATAATACAGCATGTACTAACTGAATAAGGTCTAAACATGTAATTTAACTGGTTTGAATCAAATATGAAAGACATTTCAATACATAAAGAAGGAAACAGTAAATGAGACAGCAACATGAAATTTTTCTGGACTGGAGTCTAGACATCATAAATTTTGGGTACCCTAGTAGAAAGCAAGAGCATCATGGTAGATAGTTGACACATTAGCGTGGCAATGTGTAGCGAACATAAGGCACTTCCACATCGTTACCATCATCATCATTGCAGCACAGTTCAAATACTAGGGCTCTCACATGTGGCTCCAATTTCTTCTTTGAAACTTTCTTGACAACTTCAGACATGGGCAGGCCCATTCGTTCTTGGCACTTTGCTTTCTGCATGAAGAAAGAGTACAGCATACAGACTCCTTGAGAGAGCATCGTTATCTCAAGCTGATGTTTTTCTTTGAAGTAGTCAATGAACTCTTTCAGAGTCAATTCACCAGTAACTTCAAAGCGATCCCACAAGGTCCACTCTTTCTCATAGTACTTGTTCTTAGGTGCAGCGATTGGTTCAGAGAAGCCAAAGAATGGAAGAGCCAAATTAACAAATCCATTCTTGAATGGTTCCAATTCTTTGTAACCTTGGGCTAACTTGTATAGCTCTAAACATACCAGGCCAGCAACAACTGAAGTGGTGGTAGCAATGGCAGGGATGATCTTGCCAGCTATCAGTTTACTCTTGTGCCTGTCAGCGGGAGGAATCTTGTAGTTGGCAGCTCGTAAATTTGATGCAGCAACAATGAAGTCCATATGAAGATTAGAATCATCATCCTTCTCAAAATCAAGGGGAGTGATACGCATATTCTTCAAAATTTCTGATGAGGGCAATTCTTTTTGAAGGGCATTAATGTCATGGTCCACACTTCCATTCGACACCTGCATCTGGGAGTCTGTAACTGCTATGGTGACTCCAGATTTTGGAGTGAATTCAGGCACTACAACATTTTGTAACATCTGTGCAATAGCATTCCTGTCACGGTTCTGAGGAATGCCATAGACCTCTGCCTTCAGGTTAGCTCCAGCCCAGACATAGTCAAGATGGAGAGGATCATTCACATCAAAAGTCAAGGGAACAGGGCAGCGCTTGGGTCCTGACCAGAATGGCTGTCCACTGGAGGTTATCTGTTCGGGTGGGAAATTGAAGAGAAGCTGGCGGATTTGGTTAGAATATTGGTCTTGCCAATGGTTGCGAGCCCATGCAACACAATCTTCAAATGAGTTTGGTCGGTCAGCAATCAGAGCAGTCTTTACACTTTCCAAAACTTCAACAGGCTGCACACCAGGCAGTCTCAGAGTGCGCTCAATGAAGTTTGGATCTTGCAAGTATTGAGCAGCATTTTCAGCAGCTTGACGGAACAATCCCTCAAAATTGTCACGAGCCCACTGAAGAGTGTGTTCAATTGCATTGGGGAAGTTCTTCAAGGTGCAAATAGGAATACTCTTCTCTGGCGGATCTTGAGAGGAGCTGTACGACTCTGTAAGGAATGGCACAACGACTTGTGTGTTTCCTTTGGTACCTAACGTACCAGACTCAAGAAGAGGCTTGCGATAGTACACACACCTTCTGTCCATGTAAATGCGAGCATCTACGTTGTCAAGAGCATTTGCAACACCATCAAGGTTTTCAAAGAAAGTATCATCGTAAGTCTTCTCAGATTCAGGGCCAACCCTGTTCTCATGTGCCACAACATTCATAGAGGGATTCATTCGCCTGATGACTCGTGCAGCAGTAGCAGACTTGGGCCTCTGAACATCATATGGTCGGAATAAGAATTGTCGGTTTAGATTTGACTTCTCAATCAAATCCATGTCAGTGACAGTAACTTGGCCACCATCAGCTCCAACTCCAACCATAGCAAAGTTTTTCAGAAGTTCACAACCAATAGCACCAGCTCCAACGATGAAATACTTGAGAGCGCCAAGTTTCTTCTGGAACTGCTGGCCAAACACTGCAGTCTGACCATCGTAACGATTGCCCAAAGACTTGGCATCCTCCTCTGTCACACCTGATGGAGGAATACACTCAATAGCATCGAAGTACAACCACTGATAGATAGGACTGAACTTCCCACTGCAGGCCTTCATTACTTCTTGGGCAACAATACCACCAATAGTAGCATTCATTGGACTCAAGCTACCCTTGCACACCTTTGCAAACTTGCTTAGAAGTTCAGAGTTAACTTCAACACTGTTGCCACCCTCTTGCTTTGCAAGCTTCACAAACTCTTCAGCATCAGCAGTGTTCCACGAATTGGGTAGTCTTCCATGTTCGGCTTCAAATTTATGAAGAGTGGTGTAGGCGACATGCAGCTGAGGAGGATAATCAAATTTGCCAAAATCAGTCATGACAAATTCTGGTTCTTCAAGGGCAGTTTTGAGAGGCTTGAAACTGACAACCTTAGGCATTTTGACTTGCGTCACGATACCACCCCGAATATACTCAGTGAAATTCTTAGTATCTCCAATACTGAAAGTGTATGGTCCAAGGACTTTGATCTTGATAGGCTCACAGCCATTCAATTCTGTCATTCCTTGAACCTCAGAGAATGTAACATAGTCACCATCCTCCAGACCATGCCGCGTGTCATCCAGACATGTTACAACACCCTCAACATCCCGCGAAACACTGGCAATCATCGCTGAAACTGGATTCTCACCTGTAGTGTCGACAACAGTAAAGTTGGGTCCAAAATCACAAAAGATTTGCGCAAACACTCCACGAGTGTCAGCAATGATGAGGGCAATGTTGTTGGCGTGAGTAAACTCAGCAATGCGCAACTGTTCACTGCGTGAGCTCTGCGTCAAAACTACCACCCTGAACTTCTTCAGGAAATCTTCAGTAAGGGCTCCAGTATATGGAGTAGTAGGAACATACGTGTTGAGTTCCGACAACTGTTGACAGCATGCTTCAGCGCGGTTCTTGCCAATATCTGCCTCCGTGAGGTAGAACTGAGACGTTAGATCCACAATGGAGCAGGCTTTCTCATCATGCAGGGTAACCGACTTGACTCCACCGAGAATAACATTCTTGGCTACCTCCACACCTAGGCCACCAAGGCCCGAGACGAGGACATCAGAGTCCGCCATCCGCCGCATAGCATCGTGGCCCAACACATACAGCTGCCGGGAGTACAGACCCTCGTCGATTTCCTGAGCGGAGCCCGATGATCCATTCTTCGCCATGTCTGAATGAGACAGAGAAACGGACTTCGTTGCAGTGGAGTCTGCTGAAGCAACTTTCCGCTTCTTGGCTGGGGGATCAACGGAACTGTCCACCACTTCAGCACTAGACATCGGACACAAGGGCCGTAGTATCAGCTATCCTTTTTTTCTACAAACAAATTCAACTTGGAGGACCGGGGGCGGTGACCGCTGATTCACCAACTGCGCCGCTGAACGCCGCTGGTAAGAGTTGCGGATATTGGTGATATGTAAAATGTCTGACTAATGCCACTGCCTTGCTTGTTCCAGAACTTGTGAAATTGTCGGCAACTACGGGAATCAAATTGAAAACTTTCGTTTAGAAACTAAATTGAGTGGAAGCTCATTAATACTTGTCTAACGTAAAACAATAGAAACTAAAACTGTTTTAAAATGTTTCAATATGTGTTTTGGCATTCAATATACGAGCATGCCGCACCGATAATGTGATTTTGCACTTCATATGACCACTCAGTGGTACCTGTACCAACTGGACGCGTTTAAATTCCCTAGCTGTTCCCTTCAGAAATGAAAAACAAATGTGGAATCTCACTAAACATGTCGAATGAATGATTCAACAAAAAGTGAAAATTTGAAATGAATTCCAGATAAGGTTGAGCCTTCTTCACCAAAATTTGTGCAAATAGTGTTTTTTTCTGTTTGCTCTGTAACAAATGGCAATTATGGTATCACCACCATTGTCATGTCAAAACAGTTGGTCGGAACAAAGAACCTTATTTTAATTCGTCAAATGGCTTTTTATCAATAATGGTCCATTCTAAGAACAATATTAAACGCAATTAGTTGCCCATTCCATCGTTGAAGAATGTCAGGACGAGACAAAGCTGCTAGAAACGATGACGAGCACAGTGTTGAGGTTAGCTGAATGAATTGTTGATCTGGCCATTCCCTCTTCTTGATGGCCCAATTAGTGATTTTTTTCTTATTTTTTAATCTATAAGAAAAATGCATGTTTCTGTGTTTCACTTGTCATTATTTTCGAAATTTCCATATCTTGATGTCAAGGTTAATGTTTTAATTTGTTTAATTCTCTTTTATAGTCAGTGATCATTTATTATTGTCACCTTAATTAACTGTCACTCATTGTTTACATATGTTTAGTTATCTACCAACTTCTTAATGTGCCGTAACTGGTTTCAAAACTTTTGTCTTTATTTTTCCAGACACTTGCTGAAGTATTTCGCTGTTTCATATGTATGGAAAAGCTTCGAGATGCTCATTTGTGTCCTCACTGTTCCAAACTATGCTGTTATGTGTGTATCCGGCGTTGGCTAACAGAACAGAGATCTCAATGCCCACACTGTAGAGCAACCCTTCATCTTCATGAACTAGTCAACTGTCGATGGGTTGAAGAGGTTACTCAACAGTTAGACACCTTACAGGCTGCAGGGTTTACAACTACTAGGGCCGCTGACAATGAAAGGGACAAGTATGTTATTTGTTATCTCCCTCAAACTTTTTTAAGTAACTATTTACTTCTTTTCTTATCATTTGATGGTTCTGCAGGTGTGAAACACATCAAGAAAAATTGTCTGTGTTCTGTTGGACATGTCGCTGTTGTATTTGCCATCAATGTGCTCTTTGGGGTGGGACACACTCTGGACATATGTTCAAGCCTTTGGAGGAAGTTTATGAACAGCACATGATGCAAATCAAAGTAGAAGTTGCAAGACTTCGTCGTCGGTTGATGGAACTAATAAGTCTGGTCCAAGAAGTGGTAATTTTTAATTATTTTTTTATTGTGTCTTAACTTTTTGTTGAATTATATCTGAGGTTGTTTTATTTTTTCATATTTTAACTGGGAAAATAACACAAATTGTAAAAAAATTCTAGGAAAGAAACGTGGAGTCTGTTCGAGCTGCTAAGGATGAGCGTGTCCGGGAAATAAGAAATGCTGTAGAACTTATGATTGCTCGACTGGATTCTCAGCTGAAGGCCAAGTTATTGACTTTAATGGGACAAAAAACTTCATTAACTCAAGAAACTGAACAACTAGAAGCCCTTTTACTTGAAGTTGAACATCAGTTACATAGTTGCACTCGATCAGAATTGATTTCTAAGAGTAGAGATATGTCAGGGATGATTCATCAGGTGCGGAAAAAGCCAATGGCGAGTTTTGTCACTGCACCCGTACCTGCTGATTTTCAAAGGTATAATCAAAAGGAAATTATCTGCCTTATCCTGAATTTCTTGTACATTTTGTTGTTAATTTTGTATCTGTTTTTAGTGAAATTGTCCCTGGATATGACAGTAGTACATTTGTTCTTCAAAACTTCACACAAATGCAGCATCAAGCTGATCCAGTTTATTCTGCTCCTTTGCATGTGAATGGATTGTGCTGGCGATTAAAGGTCTACCCAGATGGCAATGGCATTGTTAGAGGAAATTATTTGTCAGTTTTCCTTGAACTTAGTGCTGGTCTTCCAGAGACATCCAAGTAGGTTCTGGTGTTGTCATTGCCATGCTTAAAATGCTAGGAAAATTGTAATCACACTATATTAACATTTTCCTGGTTTTGCTCTAAGATATGAATATCGAGTTGAAATGATACATCAGGGCTCAAGGGATGCTAGTAAAAATATTGTCCGGGAGTTTGCCTCTGATTTTGAGATCGGAGAATGTTGGGGCTACAATCGTTTTTTCCGTCTTGATCTGCTCGCCAGTGAAGGTTACTTGAATACTGAAAATGATTCACTGATTTTAAGGTAACATGGAAGACATTTGCTTTTACAATTATTCATAGGTAATGTATAACTAATTTGCCTATTTGCTTCCAAATTAGGTTTCAAGTTCGGCCACCCACATTTTTTCAGCGATGCAGAGACCAGCAGTGGTATATTAATCAAATGATCACAGTTCAGAATCAGTATATGGCTCAGATAAATGAACTGAAAGAGGTGAGTTTTATGACACGGTGTTTATCATCTATCTACATTTTCATTATTGATAATGCTGGTTTCTCATGAATTAATTTCCTAGCGCTTGAGTATTGAAATTGCTCGAAACAATGCACTAACTGCCGCCCGTGCCTCTTCTGAGGGCTCTCTCAATGCCAGTGAAATTGCTGCAAATTCTGTAGCTGTTGGCCTGCAGACGTCATCAACCCATCCGAGTCCTCCTTCATCTGTTACTGGAAACTCAAAGTAATATATTATCTTACTTCTTATTGGAATAGTGTTCTGGATGTTGAAAGAGGATCATCTTTAAGAACTGCTGAATATTGAATATTCAAACCTTCCTAACAGACAAAATATCAAACTCCGTGATGATAGTACAAACAGTCCAAGGTCAGATCTGTGGCAAGCAAGCCTTGCAGCAGCACTCTCTACACAGGCAGCACCTGGGCACTCACCAGTGAAGAGTACTTCTATTATTGCTGCCCTCACTCTAGCTGATACAGAAATTCCAGATGCCCCTCAGAAGCAAGATATCTTGAAATTCACCAGCAGTAAAGTTACTGAAGCTACAAAAGTCAAACCGGAACAACAGACTGACTCTACAATTGGTGGGAAACCTTTGTCTGCATCCCTATCATCATCTAATTCAAATGTTGCTGCAAGTGGCAGCCCAGAGAGCAGTGATACTGAGGTAGACAAAAGATACCTGAGATTAAATGTACCAGAAATTAACACTTTATAAAAGCCATCCATATATTAATGCTCTTAATTTTATTATCAGGAAATCAGTGATGGGGAGGAAGCTGCACAGTTGGATTCAACCCAATGTCCGGTGGAAGATAATTCAAATGATGAGAATGATGTTGATGATGAAACAATGTCTGGTGAGTACCCTGCCACTGCTTTCCAGAGCTCGAACTCCAACCAATCAACTGCTTTGTATGCTTAAATATCTATCTATCTATCTATAGGGGATAATGATGTTGAGATTTCAATGGCTCAAAGGTTACTATTTCGTGAACCAGACCAATCCTTCGGGTATGTAATAATGTAGTATACTACTTCTCAAAACCAAACAGTACCATAAACAAAGCATCATCTGCATTTTATTTTTTTTGTGTGTGTGTAATTATTCAACTGACTTTCTTATTAAAATTATTAAAAAATAAATTTACAGAGCGCGAGCAGCATCTGACAGCTTAGAAGATGAGATCATGCTTCTTCATCTTTTTGAAATGCAGGATAGAAATAATTCCAATAATCCACTGCCTGAAAGTTCTTCATGGATTCCAAGATCTGTGTATTCATCAGGGTCTTCGAGTATGTACTTACCAGTATTCTTAGGTTTATATAGAAGATTTTAGCAGCTCAGCTCACTTAATGGAATTGAAGTCAACATTGTGCTCTTATTTAATTTAGATGGGTGCCCACAATTAATGCCAACAAATGATGTTGTAAATTCATTGCATTTGGGTCTTTTGGATTATGCAGCATCATTATCATCTCCATCCAGGTAACATGTTTGCATAATTTTCTGTTTTTATTTTTTTTGGGGGTTGGAAAAAGCAAACATTTACTGCATGACATTTGTATGTGCAGATGCAACAATAGGACAAATAATGCTGAACCGCTGTCATCAAGTGCATCTCCTACAGCTATGCGAAATGATAACTCTCTGTTGACCAACGCAACTTCACCTTCCTCCATTGTATCAAACATCCCCTCATGCAGAGTTGCCAGCAATGCACCAGGAGGGCCCTCTTGTGGCTCTGCAAGTGGTCCTGCTAGTCTTTCAAGCATGTATTGCAACACACCTAGTCAACCTGGAGCTACTCTTCCCCGATTGGATTCGGCAGACAATCGTCCGACATCGGACGCTCATTTGACACCTCCAAAATGTATGTTAATGTCATCCTTTGTTGTTAATTCTGTTCATTCGTTAATTCTGTTGTGTACTAATCTCTTTTTAAATGATCCAGTAATGCTTGGGAGCTCCCGTTCTCTTTTAAGACCGCTTCGGCACAGTCATTCTTCCCGAAGACGTGCTGGTGCACAGCATTCTCCTGTCACATCTCCAAGTCATAGTCACTCTGGCATTGAAGGAGCATCTTCAGTAAGGATATCTCTGTTTTTATTGTCACATGCAACACACGCAATACCAGGTGGCTGATTAACCCCGCTCTCTTCTGTAGTTATGCTGTACCGCACGCACGAGTGCGGGCGGGCTTGCCTGTCGCCCCTGTCCACCGCGCCTTACTAGCTGAGCGAGTAGGCAACCCACCTGCACTCGTGCGTGCGGTGCAGCATAACTACAGTACTACAGAAGTGAGTGGGGTTGATCAGCCACCTGGTATATTGTGACCTGTAGTTTTTTAAAATAACCTTTTATGTTATTTTTAAGAACTTTGATGCCTTTGATCTGTGGCTGGATTCTCTACGCCTTTCACCTGTGAAATCTGACGAGTGGAAGCAGTTAAGGTGATTAGTGTTTGATGTTTCTTTAACGAGGAACTTCCATGACTTTTGCCTTATTTATTTTTTAACATTGACATGATATTGACTGATTCTCTTAATTTTATTATATTTAGGGAACTATCCGAGGCTAGGGAACAAAGTCCCTCCCCTCCATGCCAGAATACACATCAACCCCGCAACCTTTCTTTCTCCTGGATGGCCTCATCTCTTCCTCTGTATTCATCCCTCAAACCAGGTTATTAGCCTTAAATGTATTTGATCTTGAATTATAAGAAATGGTTATGTTTGCAATTCCATGTTCTTTTAATTGTTTCAGCACAAAGAGATGTAACACAGGAGGGAGACAAAGATACACTGGACCAGCCTGAAAAAGATGACAGGTATCCTTGGACAAAATTCCTATTTTTGTTCAAAATTGTTTCGGTTCTATGACTAACCTGATATGACTTCTTCTTTTACAGTTCTCCAGAAGATAGACCGCCAAGTGCATCTCCTTAGTTCTAAATATTGCTGCTGATGTCTCTTCACATCTCTAACCTTTCAATGCAATTTTTTAAGTTCTGTAAATTAATACTCAATAATTGTTGCTTCAAAGACAATGGATCCTACATTAAGTTTGTAGATTTATTTTATTTTGCACATTTGGTGGGTAAAATTAATGTAATGTAACAGATAACAGTATTCTTTCATGACAGTTTAGTTCATAGTCATAGTATTCAATTGTTTTTAATTTTTGAGGTCAATTTTGACTGAAAGTCAGAGACTTTATGCATTCATTATTGTCAGTTTCTTTTAGGTGTTTGGATCATTAAAGGACATAACTACCATAAGCACGGTATTGAGGAATGGGGAACATTGTATTCTCATAGCCTATTTCTCACACAAGACTTCATTTATAACTGAGGAGTTGATAGTTTGCCTCCTATTTCAATGATTTTTCTCAGACATTAGTATGATATTTTCAGTTAATTGGCTTGCCTGGATCTGCAAAATGAGATGCAGGTACACTGACATATTCCTTTTTTCTTGTGATATATTTGTTGGGAGGTGTGATCATATTTATTGATAAACTATATCAAGACTAGGGTTTTCATGTGATCATTCCTATGCATTTAAATGCAATACCACTTCTTTACTTAGGATACTTGTAAGAGCAAAAGCTTGTTATTGTATTTACGTTGATGGTTAATGTTTCGTTGACAAGTGGTTGTACTTCCTTTTTACACGTCAGTTAAATAAATATGATATTAATAACTTTCTGTGTTGGTTCATGATGGAGAAGGGAAAAGAAACAACATCTTTCAATTGATCCTCTTATTAATGCAGAGTAGGATAAAGACAATATAAAATTTTAATTGTATAAAAATCAAAACTAAAATGTATAGTTATGTTCAACATATGCTCATAATCTCCAGTCTCTAGTGCAGACATTTGCGCTAGATAACACTAAAATATTTTTTGCATGCCAACCTTACATACACACACAACATGGCAATTTTAACCTCCAGGGAAATACCAAAGTCAAAGGACAACCAAACCACAGCAGAAATGCATCACTTATCAAAGAAAATCATGTCAAAAGTATAAATACTGTAGTAAGTTTCTAATTTCAGATCTTTACAAGTAACTTGTCAGAGCAGTCCTGGAAGTGAGTATAGAATAGAATATAGAGTGTAAATAAAAGAGTACAGATATCTCTAACATCATCTGAAAGGAATAATACCATACCTAGGTACACATGACAATTGTTCAACCCTGTTCCATGTTTCATATTTAATACTAATGTGTCTAGCATTTACTCCAATACTTACACTGGTGTATATGGCAGTAAGTAAATAGCTGCTGGTTAAACTGTCTTTTGTCTAGTGGCAAGTTTAGTACCAAGCACAAATTTAATACTGAGGAAGATTAATGGAGGATATTCTAAAAAATAACTGTATGGCACATGAAGTCGTCACAAATCATGGAACAGGTTTTCTACTGAAAACCCCAAACCTAAATAATATCAATAATATTACCAGAGATATAAGAATAAGTCTTCAACTTAAAATCATACCAATCAAGAAAAGAAAGAGCCAGGGGATAGAAGAAATATAAACATAAAAGCAAGTAACTAACATATACAAAAACACGCTGCTTTTTAGGCAAGCTGTGCATTGTTTCTTCTTTTTTTTCAACTGGCACATCACATAAGACATCTGTAGGGGCAACTGCCTGAGGATATCTTACACATTGGGAATAGAATGATCCATGGCAGTTTTCAACAAACTAGATGACATTCTGAAAAGAACATTTCATATGTATAGTTTAATAATTTGCAAAGACATGTCAATGAGCGTAGGTCTGCACTGTAATGTACTCACTTCTTCACCATGTGGTCAAAGACAAATGAAGGGATTATGGTGACTGTGATTGTAGGTCCACCTTCATTAATAACAGATGTGATGTCTTTGTCTGGGATCCCAACAACGTTCTGTCCATTTACTTCCAGTACATGGTGGTCAGTAAGCAGTCCATTCCTGGCAGCTGATGAATCCTGCACTAGGCCAACAATTTTCCCATCCTTGAAGTGGAAACCTACATGACCTGTACTGTTCTTTTGTAAAGTGACAGTTCTCTCAAATGGCCTACATGAAAGTCAAAAATTGACATTTAGATGCAAACAGATGGAAGACTGACAAGTTTAAAAGAAAAATTGAGGTTGAGAGAACCAACCTGTCACGGACGACAACAGAAATACCATTTATTGGGCTGTCTTTGAACAGCTTATGAACTTGATCCATAGTATACCCAGCAACAATAATTCCATTCACTTGCAGAATTTGATCTCCAAATCTTAGCCCGGCCATAGCAGCAGGAGAGCCTTTGACAACAACACACACAAATACTCCACTATTCACAGTCTGGACTCTTAATCCAACTTTTCCTTCAGCATCTTTGCACACAATCATCTGTAAACAGAACATTTATTTTATATTTTACTAGAAAATTTAACAATTGCAAATTATTTACAAAATTGAAAATGTAAAAAACTAGTTATGTACCTCACGAATACCATGAGTGACTTGCGCCCTCTGAAGACCAAGGGATTGACCTGATATAGGAGCTACCATTCCTCCTCTAGAAGAGGAAATAGTAGCAGAAGCTGGCTGAAGCTGCGTCTGTCACAGATGAAAAATGAAAATTAAAAGAAATGGTTTTTAAAAAGATTGAAATAAGGGAGCAAAAATAATATTTACTTACAGAAGTAACAACTGGAGACGATCCATATTCAGGCATGTTCTGTGCAATCATCTCAGGCGACAGATCCAAGCCCATATAATCATTTAAAGTAGGATAAACTGAAGAGTGATACTGACGAAGACTGGTGTTTTGGTGCGAGTGAACTGGAGTTGCAGCAACTGATGGTGCTGAGGGAGTGAGACTATACGCAGGTGGTGCTACGTTTGTCATCAAACTCTGGTTTTGAGAATGCGCATTCATAGATGGGTACAGAGGAACAGAGCCCGCTGTAGTGTAAGGGATAGGATTGGAGGAAATCCCCACATTTCTCTGTTGCTGCATGAATGCCTCCGCTGCATCATGAGGTCGCTGAGCCTGAGAGGGATCAAAATTTGTGCATCACACAACGAATACAAGAATAACAAATATTAACCATATTAAATAACAAATTTAACATACCCTAGCTAGCTGATCGACTTTCAAGTCTTCCAGTGATGGGTACAACATTTTGTCTATTGTTTTCTTTAAATCTCCTTCCTCACTAAGTTTACTATCCTTTTTGACTCCTAGTTTATTGGACTGAGACTGATTGTTACCACTGTCCTGCAGAAGACAGGCTCTGAAATCAAATAAAGCAATGCAAGTCTCATATTATAATCCTATAACAATAATTAAATTCATTCATAACGAATTGTATCCAGTCTAAACCACAATCACTTTAATCATACAATTTATCTCAACAAGTCCCTAACTCCATAAATGTTGAAGCCAGTCTAAGCCAGAGTCAAATTTTGTTATGTAATGTAGAGTTGATGAAAAAGTAGTAGTCTGCCTTATCAGCTGTGACTCATGCTTGCAAGGAGGACCAGTCAGTTTCACAACTCTTAACACAATGACAATTAGCGACAGAAATTTTCACAATTGTGGGATTCTGTAAAACAAATCTTCCAACAAAGAATAAAATGGTAGAAAAGTTCGGATAGCTGCTATAACTACCACAGTAACAGAAACTTTTAAAAAGAGGATCAATACCATCTAGGCCACTATCCAGGATGTATTTGTTACTGATCTAGGCGTAACATCAGAAGTTATACACAAAATGTATAAGCAACGCGATAGTTTTGGACTCACTAATGTTCCATGCACAACAACAAATCAAGCTAACAAATTACACAAATAACAAAAGTCTTGCCTTCGAAAACACAAATTCGTGGACTGCCCCTCGCCGCGCAGCTGGCTTTTTGACACAGCCAGTTGGATGCTTAGCGTCAGAAGAAAACAACACAAACCAAACCACACAAACATAGGCACAACAACACACTGGATGATGCGATATGGCACGGCAAGAGATACAGGAGGTAAGTTCTGATAATGAAAATTAAAAAGCCATAAACACAAGTATGTTGCAAATCAGATTTCTCTGCGGCACGGAAACCTAGCAGAAACGTTAGAGAAACAGAGGAAACCAAAACCAGGCCCAGGCTAGAGTCCTAGAGGGGAGAGAAACGTAAACTCGAGAAATGCGTCGATGAATCCCTCATACCGCTACCCCACCCTGCCCCGCCACACCTCCCCGCTGAAACCAAATCTCCCCAAGATGGCCGCGTGAGCATGCGCACAAGCGCGTGCCCCTCAAGATGGCGACTCGGGTTTAGCAGCTGTTTACGTGCCGTAGTCCGTGAAGCGTACGGCTAAAATCAACAGTTTTTAATATTTA